CGGCAAAATAAGGCAATTTATGTGGGCGGCCTACGATCAGCAGTGGACTTTTCTACGTTGTAATGGATGAACAGATGAAAACCTACATTTCAGTAATTGCATTGTTTCTTACGAGGTCGAACATAGCCGCTTATTAATAATCAATCAAACAATACGTCATGTTGTAATCGGTGAACGTATAATTATCGTAACGTATAAGTAACTTGACATCAGTAATCGGTGAACGTATAATTATCTTAACGTATAAGTAGCTTGACATCAGTATTTTCTATTAATTTATTCAATACTGTTAAGTGTATTTAATAACAACCTACTAACGCTACATACGAATTTGGGGTTCGTGATAATAAAACTGCCGATTGTATTACCAAAATTGACACTTTAATTACCTTTATTACATGTAGAATGTTAGAGCACATACCGGTCTCAGCAGACTAGATGTAGAGAGTTCTAGTATGAAATTTTCTAGAAAGATTACTTCAGTAATTGATACTATATGACGCTAGTGCCATGTACCAGTCATTAATTTTGACGCGCAACACTGACCCCTCCTAATACATGCTTGTCCCGAGCATTATCGGCCCCATAATAGACGATCTTAGGAGTATTTCTTGCAGCTTTCTGTATCTGGTAGGTTACGTCATTGATCCTTGTCACAATCTGGTACGGTTTGTCCCGTTTAGCTTGAAGCTTAGGAGATTTCCTTTTTCTGCGAACTGAATTGTGCAAACACACTAGTGAACCTTAGTCGATCCCTTTGTTGTTGAGATGATCTGTCATGACCATCCTTACAAATACCACTTCCTTACCCTCTTCCCTAGTACAATGTTTGCGGTCTTTGCCATTTGCGATTTCCTGCTGCGATGTTCGATCATAAAGTCGTATTCTTGCTGCTGCTGGGCGGTGCTGTTAGCCACACTACAGCAAGGTACTAACACAAGGTATGCTGCCCGGGGAGCGACCAACGCTCGCGTGTAGATGTGTTTCACTTGTGGCGCGACGACAGCGCTGTCACATCACCGCCACTCAAACCGGAGGTCGATAGTGAATTTCGATTGCCTATGCGTCCTTAATGCCGGTGGGGAATGCATGCTGTGTTTGCGTAAGGGTTCTTGAGGATAATGACAAATACTTGAAGGTTTAGTTTCCGGAGGGTGTTGGTTGCTTGTTCATATCACGTCGGTTAGTCACCCCTTTGGCGGTGAAGAAAAAGGGGAGATCTCCCGCTGGGCAAGGTGTTCTGCTCGGGGAGCGGCCAATGTTCCGTGTGATAGTTCGGATGTATTCATATATACTGTTTTTGATTCGGAACTTTGATAGCGCGAATTAGGCTTTGATGTGTTTCACTTGTGACACGGTGACAGCGCTGCCGCACTGTGTTAAATACTACTATATTTGAGACCATGATGTTAAAACGAATCAATAAGCTGAAGTACTTAAGGTAGGTTTCATTCCCTTAACTCTCACTGCCGCCAAATAGAAGTGCTTGAACTGCTGTGTTCTAGTCTGAAGAGTATGAGGTATTCCATCTCAGTCATCAGAGTACGAATATCAGTGCATCAGAGTAGAAATATCAGCATGCAGACCCCAATCATTAGTCGCTGGAACTTAGGGTCAATAATTTTGTATCATGAGTCGTTTGTCAGGGCTTTGTTCCTAGTTCGCTGACTCAAATTTGTACGACATTTTGTACATTGCCATCGTTTATCCACCAGAAATACTCAATTCTTCAATAGTAAATATCCATGTTCACCTTCAGATTATTACGAGCTGATTGAAAAATTAAGAGAAACAGAATAAGATACCAATACTAAAATAGATTAAACGCTATAAAATCATAAAATTATCTTTATATAAAATTACAAGACAATTTACTATATATATTAAAACATTTATCACAATTCAAAACTTTTGTTTTGTACAACGTTCAAGTTACAGCTATTTGAATTGTGTACAATCGTCGGGGCTAAGAATTAATTCATTCAACCCTGAATAAATAATAACGACCTTATCTCATACATGTTTGAGTTCCCTTCTCGTGTAATTTATGTTTAAATAATGGAGCCTTGGAAGCTAATATTTGAGAGAAAGTTATTTTGATTAAATTTTCGTCTTGCGCTTTGGTGAGTTAAATTTAAGGAACACTGTTTTAGGTCAATATATTACAAGGAAATTCTAAGTTTCTTAGACTATCAACAGCATTAGAATTTTTACTGTCACAGACGTGATGATAAAAAACCTTGTACATCTATAATTTTGTAAATAAAACATATTGCTTGAATGTTTGATGTATTACGTCACGTCTATTAGGACGTTAAAAAAAGTAGTTAATTTTTTCATATTTTTTTTTGATGAATGAGAACTTGAGAACTTTGAAGAGAGAAAACAACATATTACGTGGTAGAGCCATGCTGCAGTTATATTAATAGTATAGTTGTAGCACGAATGGGTCGGCTCGACCGGGGAAGGAACCACGCTCTCACAGAATACCAGCGTCAAATAGTAGCTTATGCTGCCGTGTTTCGTATGGTGAGTGTAGAGAACCGGAGACCCTTTTTACTGTAAACGAGACATTCCACCTAAGTCCACACGGGTGACAATGTATCTGCATTTTGTTTCGTAATCGAGGACAGATGTAGATGTCTCTGGGCCACAGCGACCACTTACCATCAAATGGACTGTGTGCTCGTTTGTCACCTTATTCTATAAAAAAACACCATCTTGTAATACCACTTCATAATAGATCTTCGTATTTTGCGACTGGCATAGTGGCGGCGTAAAAATTTCCACTATCACATATATACCATGAAGGTCGTAAGAGTGGAAAGAGGGACAGAACCCAGATGTACATCAGTGTGTTCCCAATAACAACTAAAAATAAAAAAAACTGTAGTTGCTAACCCGCCTACCCAACAGGGCAACTTTAGCGGATATCTCCTGCAATCCATTCTCAGCAGTGAACTTTTAATAGGCTACAGCGATAACAGTAACGGTAAAAATATTCACAAGTCAATCTTACTGATACCAGGCCTTTGTCACTCTTTCTATCTGCGTGAAATAATTACCTTACCTACTTCTCTGTGGAATTCTTTACCACCAGCGAATTTTCCGGACCGACACGATTTAAAACCTTCAAAAATATAATTATTTCTTATATTTACGCGAACACTACACATTGAAATAATACTAATAATAGTTTTTACGGATTTTATCGCGCATATTTAACTATAAATACCCGACGTTGATTGTAAATGTGGTCTCTCCTACATAGGACAAACTAAAAGATCAATTAAAACCCGTGTTAAAGAACATATAGCTGATGTGAAGAATCGACCCTCCGGGAAGTCTGCAGTCTGTGAACACGTACAGGATCGCCCCCGTCACTACATCAGATTTGATAGACCACAAATCCTTGCTAAAGAATACCGATTCCTACCACGGATGATTCGCGAGGCTATTGTAACCAAAAAAAACATCCTAATTTCAATAGAGAAGATGGCTGGGTGCTACCATCTGCTTGGGATCCTCTAATAAATAAAATTAAATCCCAACCCAAGCATACAACTGCAAGACTTCAAGATACCATAAGTTCATACTGTGTAGATCGGAACAAAAGTTAATTATTTATCTATGGTAACCGCTGTTAACTATGACATTTGGACGTTGAACATCTCAGTCCGTGATCATGGGTTCTATAAAGCGCTCGAAACGTCGGGCATTTATAGTTATATATACGCTATAAAATCCGTAAAAACTATTATTTCAAAAAAATTGCTTACTTTTTTTTAAAGGCTGGCAATGCACTTGCTATTCCCCCGGTGTTGCGGTTGTTCATGGGCGACGGTAGTCACTTACCATCAGGTGAGCCGCATGAACGTTTGCCCCCTCTTCCATAAAAAAATCTCCAATCGCTAGATAGCCCGGGCCACATACGTAATCGGAGCTGGCGCGTTGTTAGCGGTTGAATGTAAAAAAAAATTATGATGTTTTCGTAAATAGTTTTTTGTAAGTACTTGTTGAAATAGTTTTTGCTTAGTGTTTAGTATAATTTATTGTAGGATAACATGGTTGAAAGTTTTTTATGTAATTTAAAAAGTATATTTATAATATGTATAATATTACTTATCTATTTGATCGTCGTACCTACTATAATTGATGTGTGGGTGGATGGTTAATGAAAAACAAAAGATTTCAGATAAATAATTCTTTAAGTTACCGAAGGATTTTAGTAGGAAGATATGTAAGGTGAATTTACTTATATTTTTAGAGAGTTACTTAAAGCGAAAAAATAATTAAGTAATAATTTAACTACAAAAGTAATATCTAAGTACTTTATTATAAAAATTAATTGAAATTTAATTAACTATCCAAGTGCCTACTTAAATACCTATTTTTGTCTTTTATAATTAAAATATTTTAATTTATAATAACACAAATTACTGGAATTAAAACTTTGTTATAACAAGATTTTTGACTAAGTAGAATACAATCACACTTCATTTAGGAATCGTATTTCGGGATTATTTGTTGTTTGCTCTGCCTTAAATAATTATGTGGGCTATTAAAACGTTGGCAAGCAGTCAACGTCAAAGAAGTGCATTTCTGTACGTAGTACTACTATTTATTCAATGGTGATACTATAAGATTTTCCTTGAGTTTTCAATAGTCGCTTCGTGATGGAATATTTCATTATATAACTTTAAGGTATCTAATTTTATAAACTTTTTGATAGCTAATATGAATGTGAGCTACAAATGAAGAATATGATTGTAATAAATTTATTTTTGAAGAAATGCCAAATCTTCTGCTGCTATTTCTCTAAATAAAAATCAGGAACATTTTTCAAAGGCTTTGCCAATTTGCGTATTCTATTGAATCGCGTTGCACTGGGATAAAAATCTTTTAAAATGTATTTACCATTTGAAAATTTGTTGTAAAATATTTGTTTCGACAACGAGAAACGTTGTTGAAACTAATATTTTACAAGAATAGTAATAATATTGTCGGCAGAAATTTGTAGTGGTGTACCAAACAAAGCAACCTACGAGTTAGTAAGCGAATGTACACAAATTTGTAGTGGTGTACCAAACAAAGCAACCTACGAGTTAGTAAGCGAATGTACACAAATTTGTAGTGGTGTACCAAACAAAGCAACCTACGAGTTAGTAAGCGAATGTACACAAATTTGTAGTGGTGTACCAAACAAAGCAACCTACGAGTTAGTAAGCGAATGTACACAAATTTGTAGTGGTGTACCAAACAAAGCAACCTACGAGTTAGTGAGCGAATGTACACAAATTTGTAGTGGTGTACCAAACAAAGCAACCTACGAGTTAGTAAGCGAATGTACACAAATTTGTAGTGGTGTACCAAACAAAGCAACCTACGAGTTAGTAAGCGAATGTACACAAATTTGTAGTGGTGTACCAAACAAAGCAACCTACGAGTTAGTAAGCGAATGTACACAAATTTGTAGTGGTGTACCAAACAAAGCAACCTACGAGTTAGTAAGCGAATGTACACAAATTTGTAGTGGTGTACCAAACAAAGCAACCTACGAGTTAGTAAGCGAATGTACACAAATTTGTAGTGGTGTACCAAACAAAGCAACCTACGAGTTAGTAAGCGAATGTACACAAATTTGTAGTGGTGTACCAAACAAAGCAACCTACGAGTTAGTAAGCGAATGTACACAAATTTGTAGTGGTGTACCAAACAAAGCAACCTACGAGTTAGTAAGCGAATGTACACAAATTTGTAGAGGTGTACCAAACAAAGCAACCTACGAGTTAGTAAGCGAATGTACACAAATTTGTAGTGGTGTACCAAACAAAGCAACCTACGAGTTAGTAAGCGAATGTACACAAATTTGTAGTGGTGTACCAAACAAAGCAACCTACGAGTTAGTAAGCGAATGTACACAAATTTGTAGTGGTGTACCAAACAAAGCAACCTACGAGTTAGTAAGCGAATGTACACAAATTTGTAGTGGTGTACCAAACAAAGCAACCTACGAGTTAGTAAGCGAATGTACACAAATTTGTAGTGGTGTACCAAACAAAGCAACCTACGAGTTAGTAAGCGAATGTACACAAATTTGTAGTGGTGTACCAAACAAAGCAACCTACGAGTTAGTAAGCGAATGTACACAAATTTGTAGTGGTGTACCAAACAAAGCAACCTACGAGTTAGTAAGCGAATGTACACAAATTTGTAGTGGTGTACCAAACAAAGCAACCTACGAGTTAGTAAGCGAATGTACACAAATTTGTAGTGGTGTACCAAACAAAGCAACCTACGAGTTAGTAAGCGAATGTACACAAATTTGTAGTGGTGTACCAAACAAAGCAACCTACGAGTTAGTAAGCGAATGTACACAAATTTGTAGTGGTGTACCAAACAAAGCAACCTACGAGTTAGTAAGCGAATGTACACAAATTTGTAGTGGTGTACCAAACAAAGCAACCTACGAGTTAGTGAGCGAATGTACACAAATTTGTAGTGGTGTACCAAACAAAGCAACCTACGAGTTAGTAAGCGAATGTACACAAATTTGTAGTGGTGTACCAAACAAAGCAACCTACGAGTTAGTAAGCGAATGTACACAAATTTGTAGTGGTGTACCAAACAAAGCAACCTACGAGTTAGTAAGCGAATGTACACAAATTTGTAGTGGTGTACCAAACAAAGCAACCTACGAGTTAGTAAGCGAATGTACACAAATTTGTAGTGGTGTACCAAACAAAGCAACCTACGAGTTAGTAAGCGAATGTACACAAATTTGTAGAGGTGTACCAAACAAAGCAACCTACGAGTTAGTAAGCGAATGTACACAAATTTGTAGTGGTGTACCAAACAAAGCAACCTACGAGTTAGTAAGCGAATGTACACAAATTTGTAGTGGTGTACCAAACAAAGCAACCTACGAGTTAGTAAGCGAATGTACACAAATTTGTAGTGGTGTACCAAACAAAGCAACCTACGAGTTAGTAAGCGAATGTACACAAATTTGTAGAGGTGTACCAAACAAAGCAACCTACGAGTTAGTAAGCGAATGTACACAAATTTGTAGTGGTGTACCAAACAAAGCAACCTACGAGTTAGTAAGCGAATGTACACAAATTTGTAGTGGTGTACCAAACAAAGCAACCTACGAGTTAGTAAGCGAATGTACACAAATTTGTAGTGGTGTACCAAACAAAGCAACCTACGAGTTAGTAAGCGAATGTACACAAATTTGTAGTGGTGTACCAAACAAAGCAACCTACGAGTTAGTAAGCGAATGTACACAAATTTGTAGTGGTGTACCAAACAAAGCAACCTACGAGTTAGTAAGCGAATGTACACAAATTCGTAACTCGAAGGCTGCTGACACCAACCATTGGGTGCGTTTGGCAGAAAAAAGCGCTAGCAAGCGCTTGTAAGCAAAATGGCGATCGTAAGCGGTAAGCGCTGTCAAATCGTAAGTAGCTATTTTCCTCCAGGACACGATGTTAGTTTTAACCGGGGGAATCTAACCTAATTTAAATATATGTTTGTAAAGTATTCATATTAAAAACTTACCAATCATGAATTTTTAATAACATGTATATGTTTATTCATGTCATTATATTACTTAAAACTAATATTGCACAAAACAACTTATAAACTCTACTTCAAAACAAACAAATTAAATAAGCAAAATGGCGGATTGTGTCAGCGCTACTGAAGTAGCAATCGTGTCCTGGCCGAAAAATATTAAGTGTGGTGAGGTTTTTTGCTTGACAACGGTATTATACTTGGCCTGGTTTAGTCTTATTTTACAAAATAAATTTAAATAAAACTTTTAGTAAATCCAAATGTGCAGCCAGCCCTTAAGCGCTCATGTTATACGTAAATTTTGAAAGTATTTTAAATACACACAAGTTTTCACAAATAACCTTATTATTATTACTTCTCATTTTTCCGATAATATTTGTCTAACGCTAATAACAAGGTTAAATCGTGAAAATATGTAGAAAAATATTCTCAATCAACATAAAATAGAAACTACTTTTTTAATTTTACTTTGTTATTATTATTGAGATTCAATTTTTTTCATTATTGTTAATTGTAAACAATTTTAACAGAATTATATTAAAACGATCAGAAATTAACATTAATATTATTTAAATTTTTAGGTATTTGTACTCAGGCATTATCGTAAAGGCTGGTATTTGTTACCTGACTCGTATTTTTTTTCTCATCAACTTTATTTTGTTTTCAAATAGTTATTTCTTCTAATCATAACCATTATTTTAATTTAGCATTTACCAAAGTACACTCTCAGGTCACTCCATAAAGTCAACAAAACAATTTATTGCAATTAAAATCTGTGAAAATAATGATAATAATAATATCTTACCTTGGTAAAGTATGTATCAATTTTTATCACAACCCGCTGTAAACAAAAGATATAATGTACACACTCACGACAGCGGCCGAGCCCGGAGTGAGTCAAAGTGTATTTAGCAAAATATATTATTACAAGGCTGCTCAAGCATCGAAAATTTTGGAATTTCTCAACCGAAAAAAATTAATTATAACTTAACAAACCAAAATTAAATATCTATTTACATTCCAGGCTTACCACATTATAGATGAAGAGATTAACAAATACATTGAGTTGAACAATTGATATTTTCAAAATTTATCGTGTTCAAACCTCCATGTGGACGTGATACCTACCTACCTACACCATAAGTCACTAAAACCACTTTTTTAATGTAAAAATAGCTGTTAATCGTTTAAAAAAATAATAAGTTAAACAATCTTTTATCTTTCTGAAAATGTGCTTTTTATCATTTTTAAGTTCAATATTATGTTTATTAGATACGATTCCATGCGACAAAACGGTGGATTCTTGATTTCTAGGCGCTAGTAAAACATACCGACGCACTTTGCGCTGGCATGCAAAACGTCTACTGCGTAAACTGAAGCTCATGATTTGAACGAATAGATTTTCTTTTGAAATAAAGTACTGCTAGTTATTCCTTTAATACAACCTTAGTGCAAAATAGGAAGTAATTCATATTTCTCAAAAATTTTCTTCACTAATATAATAGATTCGCGCAAAAATATTAAAACTGATCATATCATTTACCGTGTGTAAAAATATTACTCGCTACTACTACTAATATCGTAAGGGCGAGAAAAGGCAACTCAAACAGGAGAAAGGCAGAAACATTGTGCTGATATTAACTTAATATCACAAATAACTGCAGTTCTCATTTAAATAAAACTAATTTCCTAATTTTATCACATATATTAACTTATTTTAAATTCCCGACGTTTCGATTCCCGTTGTTTACAGCACCCATAGTTTTAGCACCATCGAATATTATCTCATTAATTTTGAACGTCACTATTTTTATGCAGAAATGAAATTATTTTAATTTACAGAAATAGAAATTCTATGTTAAGTAAATAGTATTGCCATTTCAAGTGAAGAGAATCGGTACTGATTGTCAGCAGTAATTGGACTAAATGCACCGTTTGGACCTTTGACGCCAAATCACTTGCCACCGAGATAATTAAACGACCGCCGGACAACGGTTCCCTATTAATTACAGCTGCCTCTTTGATGTATCTTCGGCTACTGATATTAATTGGTATCACTACGTAACAGAATTTGAAATTGCTTACTCAGTGTATTTAATGTTCACACGTTAATTACTTATTATTAAATTTTTCATACGTGTTAAAATTATTAATCGTGTAATTATTATTGACCGTGTAGTGGCGGTATAAGAATATTCCCCAAGAGACGACAGAAGTAAACTGGTAAATGTTTTTTTGCCAATGCCAAAAAAATCGTTCTAAGAGGCAAAATTTCCTCTATGAGGCAATTTATCGGCCTATGCACCAGCCAGTAATATACCCATAATGGTTAGTCTAGAGAGCACGGTTAAGGTGCATATTGATTATCGCAGAACCTTTCAACATTGACTGCCACCCGTCTGGTCTTTGGTTATTTTATTACACCGCGCCCTTCTGAGGCTGAGCAAGGCAAGCAGAGTGACGTGATGGTGTCACTTAAGGTGCGTTGTGGTCGACAACTTAGGACTTGCTACATGGCGATAAGAGGCTGATGTAGAGAACGAGATAAACAAAAGCACCAGGCACATGTAATTTTTTTTAGAATAAGGGAGACAAATTAGCACACAGAACACCTGATGATAAATGGATACTGTGGCCTATAGACATCGACATCTATTCTGGTTTAGGAACTATAATTCCCATGCACTGTCACAACGGAGAACTAAGATGGAATACCTTGCTACGAGTAAAAAGATCTACACTCAAAATGAGAAACAAATCAGCATTAAGCTGCTATTTTACGCTGGTTTCTGTGAGTGTGGCACCATAATATAGCTGGAGCATGGCTGCATCACTTCTTCGTGACGAGTGTGTGTGTGTGTGTGTGTGTGTGTGTGTGTGTGTGTGTGTGTGTGTGTGTGTGTGTGTGTGTGTGTGTGTGTGTGTGTGTGTGTGCGCGTGTGTGTGTGTGTGTTCTACTCGAGTTGATATTAACACAGTTGTTAACGATTATATCTACTTAAGTTTAGATTTACAAATGAGCCAACATCTCACTCGTAGGTAAGTGACTACTATTGCCACGGATGAACGCATTCAGACAAAGAAGGCTACAGATGTACTATCACCTCCGAAAACTAAGATGGAATGCTCACACACAGTTATACCGAGACATTATACCCTTCATAATAGGACACCTCTGTTGTGTCTACCCAGACTGATTTCTAGATAGAAAAGTCCTACCTCATATTAAAGTCATAAATTACAAACTCACGTTTTACTACACGTCAAAAGGCAAAATGATTTTCATAATATTTTGACTATTTTTTTGTTTAGATGGATCATATTTGGTACGACACTTAATATCAAAAATGCATCGTTTGTGTAGTACATACATAAATTACGCTCTCAGATTCCTAATTGAATTGATTTCTCTGATGTTACCCGGAGCGCAGGCGAACAAAAAGACAATACTCGTATTCTACTGAAAGCGTTATTATGATTTTACGTTGTGCTATTCTAGTCTTGAAATATTCCACGTTAAACAATTTCTGTTACCATTTACTAAATTATAATTTCATTTTTGTTGTTTTTTTTTAAACTGAGTTAATTTTAGTTAAACAAGTTTGTGTCGGTCACATGGAGTACACATGGAGTCTCGACCTAGTAAGACATGTAGGAACTTGATAGATGCAAGTGGCTTTTGAACCATACTTTGAGCCATTCCTTAGGGGAGGCTTATGTCCTGCAATGGAATTGAAAATGGCTGTAATAATGACGATCACGTGAACTGGATTATTATAATTAGTTAATATGTGCTTGGTACTTATATCAATGAATCCAAAATACCCTTAACGCCTGAGGGAGAGGATTTTTGTAATACCTCATGATACTACTACTATGACACGGTTTGATACTTTATCAGTAAGAACAATTATTTATTGTTGTTTCTGAGTATTTCGTATTTGAATTTTATTAATAGATTTTTTATTGTTATTATAATTTAATAACGTAACATCAACATGTAATTCTCTTTTAGAAGCTGGTGAAAATGTCAGGCTAGAACAGAGGCTATTTTTACTTTTATGTTGTATTAACAAAGGACTTTTCATTTATTTTCCTTTACGCACAATTTCCTCAGATTTTAATAGTATTAATGTAGCTGTCATCATTTGTCTCCTATAATTCATTTTCAGTTGACCTACAAAATTTCAGTGCTGAGTGATTTCTTATTGCATTTATTTCTCTGAAGAGACGTTTTATGCAAGAACGAACAGGAAAGAATAATAAAATATATAAGTAATGTTACAGATAAGCTTGATTTAAATTTTGCTGGGCATTTAATTACAAATGCTTTCATGTCCATCTTTACATCTTCACAAATAAATAGAATATAAGTGTCTGTTTGTATTGTCAAAATAACAGCTTATTACTTAATGCATATCAAAGTATATACGGTACAAATAAAACGGAGAAAACATTTTCAAAACTTTTGCCTGTCTGTTTATTCCGGCTAATATCCGCAACAGCTAGACCAATTTTAACGGAACTTCACTGGCAGATACTGTTGTTCTTAGAAGTAACGTAGACTACTTATATTTTAGAAAAAGATTTAGTGCTCTGCGAAAAAAAAACATGATGTCCTATCATAATGAATTACACGCAGATTATGTCATGTGAAACAGCTAGTATAAAATAAATATTATTGTGCACACCTTACTGATCTAATAGAGTTATTTTAAGTGATCATTTTACGCAACATGTAACCAAAACCCTGTGGTTCACCTTAAATCCGTTATTAGAATCAGTATTCAATCTGCAAGCACAATTTAGGGCTGCTTTCAAGCAGATAGTTGCCTCATCAAGTTAT